CAGAATGTGCCCTTTGGAGATTTAAATTATTACATATGCCTGAGTGGTTTTTTTTGTTTGTGTGTTTTTTAAAAAGCTAAAGTGGATAGAGAGAAATACTTTTAACTGATGGTATATGGAGGGGATTATAATCATTGTAATGAAACTAGTTATATGAATTGTTGAATGTACAACTGATGATGTGCCCTATAAACTTTCACTCAATCCACAATAAAAACCTTTAAAAAAAAAAAAAAAGGCACACTGGGGAATGTGTTTGGGGAGGTATTTGGGGAGATATGGTGGGTTGTAATGCAATCTCTTTCCCATTTCTTCTGAGGCCTTGTGCCACACTTCTTCCAGTTCCTGGTTTTGATAAGAAATGATGAATTAGCAGTATTATCTGGGAGTGTTAAGAGAGTAGTATCTTCTCCTTGGGTTAAGAAATCCAAAAAATGTTTCTGAAAGAATTTAGGTTTGTAACTCAGCACAGTTACAGCTGTGTTGCTAATTTGTTCTTTTTCAGTGATTTAACTTACAGTCCCTCCCCTTCTATTTAGTTCTCACAGTACCTTCATGAAAATGCGGCCTACGTTCGCCCCCTTGAGGAAGGAATGCTTCATTTATTTGAAAGTATTACTGAGGATACTGTGACAGTCCTGGTAATTTTCTTCTAGTTTATTATTTTTGGAAGTGGGAGCCCCGCCTTGTCAAATACTACTGCTGACCTTCAAATTGTTTTTCTTTTCCAGGAAACAACTGTGAAATTGAAAATTTTTTCAGAGCATTTAACCTCCTACATATGTTTTCTTAGAAAGATTCTTCCTTATCAGTTAAAAAGGTATTTGCCACTTGAGACCAGTGAACTTGTGGGGAGGGGAGAGCTTGGGGGTTGTCACCTTCACCTGACCTGCTGTACAATGAATGACATAGTAATACATGTCCTCTGTGGTTTGACATTTTTGCACCACGATCGATTTGGGCTTGTGAAAGGCGAAAATCATGGCTTGGGCAGCATAAACTTCTATTTTAGAAAATTGAGTTGTAAACTGTGAGACAGGGCTTATTGTAGTAGTCTGTACTGTGATTACTGCTTGACTCACATCGGACTATTGATCGGTGCTTTTAATGATAGTTTGAATGACACATTTATTGAAAGAAATAGTTTAGCTCTGAGTTTTCATTATCCCTTTGCTATCAACATTTAGATGGGGGCTACAATAGTTAACTTCTAAATCCAGCTCTTTACCCTTACATGGTTTTTGAAAGGTTTTATTCTTGTCTTTATTATTAGTTTTTTTTTTCAGGAAGTCATTAAATTTCATGTTTTTATATATACATGCACCATGCATTGTTGCTGTTATTGTTAAGTGCCTTCAAATCAGTACTGACATATAACGAGCTTAAGTACAACAAAAGAAACACTGCCCAGTCCTGCCCCAACCTCATCATTGTTGCTACCCTTGAGCCCATTGCTGCTTCCACTGTGCCAATCCATATACCTGGGAGTCTTCCTCTTTTCTGGTGATCCTCCACTTTATCAAGCATGATGTTTTTCTCCAGAGACTGGTCCCTCCTGATAATATGTCTGAAGTATGAGAGACAGAGTCTTGCCATCCAGCCTTCTATGCATTTTGACTATACTTCTTCCAACACAGATTTGTTTGTTCTTTTGGTAGTCCATAGTACTTTTAAGTATATTTTTAGTGTTTTATTTAAATTTTAGACTAAAAATTTTATCTACTCAAGCCAACATAGAATCTCTCATTAATAACCTTAAATATACCATGTTAAATATTTTTGGAAAAACAGAAAATATAATATATATATGCTGAAATATTATAATATTGCTTATAGATTACTAAAGCTACTAAAACTTTGGTCTAAAATTACTAAGACTCCTAATTCTTCTAAATATTTCATCCTAAGATGAAAGTTGTTTTTTTTTTAAAGTAAACAAAGAACAGTAAAGCAAACACAAGAGAAATAAAAAGCTTATTTATTGTAGTACATTGAAAAATAATTTTAGAAAATATTTAGATGAATAATAAACCTTTAATTTTATCAACAAACGAAAATGTTAGGTTTTAGCCTTTCACAAAAGAATTTTATTGTTTAATATTTTTAAAAATTAAATATTTGTTGTTAAGAATGATCCTATTCTCATTATAATCTAACAAAGTAATTCAGTTACTGAATTCTATGATTTGTACATAAGGGAATCAACAAATTATTATTTAAATGAATAATTATGAATGATAATTTGTTCACAGTCTTACATGTTATGGTTCAATATGATTTAAAGGTTTTTAAAAAATTTTTTGGCTCCAGGTGTTTAAATCAGGCTGCAATAAAATGTACTTTATTGACTTATATTTAAATGGAATCTGTGTAAGAGCCTTTACAAAACTGGTACTTGAAACATTTATGTATTATCTTTTCATGACTAATCATTTAGGAATACTGGATAAGTCCTTTCTTGATGTAAGATTCCTATTCCATATACTTTGAGCCTTACCTTATAACATATTCATGTTTTCATGTCTTTAGGCTTTTTTTTTTTTTTTGGCATTGGTTTAAATACCAATTAATTGACATGGGCTTAATATTAAATCAAGCTGTCTGCTTGATTCCTATGTTAGCTTTTCTAGCTTTGTGTAAAATATGTTTTACTTGGTAATCTGCATTTTTTAAAATATACTTTGATCAGAGTCCACATGTTTTATATCTTATAATTAAGTTTTCCACAGTAACTATTAAAAACTTAAAATATTAAAATGTATTTTATGAATATTAAGCATTTATTTTTTAAACTTTAGGCTATAGAAATGTAATGTTTGCCTTTTGAAAATACATACACATGAAGAGAGATTGTAACGATTCTCTTTGCTCTCAGCATGCCTTTATCTTTTCTTTCGTGTAATTCTCTGTTACTATATTGGTGTTTGCAGCAAGTGTATGTGATTATCTTGATGTTAAAAAAAAAAATGAGAACCCTATAAATAGAACATATTTCTTTTTATGTAAAGTTTTTCTTTGTATATAATTTTGAGAATTTGTAGCACTGTAGGATAAGCACTGGACCACAAGATCAGCTTGAACTGCAAGGTCAACAGTTCAAACTCACCAATCACCCCTCAGAAACTCTATACAGGGTCGCTGTGAGTTGGAACCAACTTGTTGGCACTTAACAACAACGTTATAGCTAATTGGAAACTGTTCAGGATGCTCATTTTAAAAAATTTTGCTTATTACTAGTTTAGAAGAGGAATGTGAATCTTCCCTTTGCCCATCTGCGTTAAGAGCCAGGAACCTAGAGTTGTCTCAGGATATGAAAAAGATGACAGCTGTATTTGAGAAGCTCCAAACTTACGTTGCTCTTCTTGCTTTGCCAAGTAAGTATGTTCTGCCTCTTATGATTTTACTTGAGGCATGTACAGTACAACAAGCTGGAAGATTGTTTAGAGTGGGAAAAAGGGAAGAGCCTAGGATCTTGAGATAGGAAAACTCAAATTGTCTATCCCCTTATTTGTCCCCATTTATTACCTTGGACAAATCATTTTACGTATTTGCACCTTAGTTCCTCATTTGTAAAATGAAGGTAAATATAATTATTAAGTTAAATTAAGGATGTAAGGTAAATGGCATAGGAGACATGTACTAAATAGTAATTCTCTTTCTCTCCTTTCTGTTTTTAAAAGGAGACAGACACATAAGAATTTGCATCAACTCTACAAGTAGCATAGAAAAACTAACAGAAAAATAATAGTTCTTTTTCCCTGTGGCCTAATTTGAAATAAAGTATTTTCAGATAACTGAATAAATTAATAATTAGTTTAAATAATAATGGCTGTTAAGAAAGCCATGGTTTGGTTTGGTTTTGTAATGGCTTTGTTGTGATAAAATTTAAAATGACACAATTCAGATGTTTAAAGTGTACAGTTCAGTGGTCATTTTGTTTTCACGAATGCGTGCAGCAATCACCATAGCCCATTTCAGAGCATTTTCATCACTTCAAGAAGAAACCCTATATCTATTAGTTATAAGGAGGCTCTATGAAGTTTTTGGAGTAACAGAATTAAAAAAAAAAAAAAAAAAAAAAAGTAATGTAACTTTTCTATGAACTTTCTGATGCCTTCTAGTATTACTCCTATCTCCTCATTTTCCTTAGCCCTTGGTAATCACTCATCAACCATCTGTGTATATAGATTTGTCTCCTCTAGACTTTTCATATAAATCTTATCATACAGTAGCTGGTCTTTTGTGGCTGGCTTCTTGCACATAGCATAATGTTTTCAAGGTTCATCATTATTGTAGCTTTTATCCTTAATTATCCTTCATTCCTTTGGGTGCCTGAATAGTATTACTTTGTATGGATGCAGCACATTTTTGCTTACCCATTCATTAATTGGTGTTCATTCAAGTTGTTTCTACCTTTTGACTGTTCAAAATAATGCTGCTATGAATATTCAAGTACAAGTTTTTATATAGACATATATTTTTATTTTTCTTGGCTGGAAACCCTATACAGGGTTGCTAAGAGGCCGCACTAACTCAACAGAAACAACCACCACCGCCATCATATGTTTAGTAATGGAATTCTGGGTCATAAGGTGAATTCTTAGTTTAACCACTTCAGTAACCACCAGACTGTTTTCCAAAATGACTGCATCATTCCTCATTCCCAGCAGAGTATGAGGGTTCCAATTTCTCCACATCCATGCTAACACTTACCATTATCTGACTTTTTGATGATAGCCATTGTAGTGGAAATGAAGTGGTATCTTATTGTAGTTTTTATTCATATTTTCTTAATGACTGATGATGTCAGACATATTTTCATGTGCTTATTGGCCACTTGTGTATCTTTTTTACAGAAATGTTTTATCTTCATCCTTTGCCTATTTTTTTTAAATCGTGGCTTTTGTCTCTTATTATTAAGTAGTTGCAGTTTTATGTCATTGTTATGTGGTGCTGTGGAGTCAATTCCGAATAAGTGACCTATAGAGGATTTCCAAGGAGCAGCTGGTGGGTTTGAACTACAGACCTTGTGGGTCAAAGTTCAGTGCTCATCCTACACTACCACACCAGGAGTCCAGGAACCGCAGATCATGTACTCTGAACACAAGTCCCTTATTGGATATATGATTAGCAAAATAGTTTTCCCATTTTCTAGGTTATCTTTCCACCTTCTTGATAGTGTCACTTGAAACACAAACATTTTTAATTTTGAGTAAGTCTAATTTATCTGTTACTTCTTTCTGTCTTATGTTTTAGGTGTCATACCTAAGAATCCATTCTCATATCCAAGGTCATGAAGATTTACCTTTATGTTTTCTTCTGAGAGTTTTATAGTTTTAGCTCTTAGATTTAGGTCTCTGATCTCTTTTGAGTTAATTTTTTGTATATGGTGTGAAGTAGCAGCCCAACTTCATTCAATTGCTGTTGTTTTCTCATAGATACCCTACCCCAAAGCCCCAGGTAGATACTTTTTACCCCAAGCCCCAGGTACACAAAGATACTCTTATCAGGCAGAATATTTTAGGGGCTCAGAAGTTATCTTCCAGGAATGGTCAAGGGCCAGCCCTTTTTTTTAGAATATGTAAGATTTGTACACTGCAAGATTGCCGAGTTTTGTTTTTGTTATTTTTTCCTGAGCGGAGTTCCTTGGGGATATCTGAAGTTTTCCATTTTAAGGCCCACTTCTTCCCTGAGCAAAATGCCTTAGCCATAGGTCAGGAGTTGGATGGAGACTTCTCTCTGAGGAGCATTCTGCTTTAGGAGCTAGGCACTCAATGGAGGCAGAACAATTGCCTCAGGTCTTCTTGATTTGCTTCTTTTGGTGTAAAACCTTTGTTTCATGAACCAGAACTAGGGCAGCTGGGGCTCCTGTATTCTCAATGGCATTGTGCTCTTACTGTGGTTTGTGTACACGGATCTCTTGAAGCTTTTGTGGCAGAAGTGGAACTCTGGTCGTCTAGTAGTAGTGTTTTTAGTGCATTGAATATATAGTAATATGTAAGAAAAGGACAAAATGAGAAAAGTGTTCTATGTTAATGAAGTAAAAAATTTCAAAGACTTTCATTTCAAAAAAGATAGTGAAAGAGAGAATCTGCTTAGTCAATTTACTTTTGACTCTTAACCATTAAAAATGCATGAAGGATACAAGTCATAGTTGGATGTGTGTATCTTTGTCACTGTTGTATCTGTGTTTGTAAAGCTTTAAAGAGCCATTGTTTTCAGCATAACATAAGCAATTTTCATTCTCTCTCTTCCCCTAAATAGAAGGACTTGATGGCTATCAATTTGTTGATGTCTCATGGGAAAACGTTTAGGCTTGTGATTTTGATTTTTCTAGGTACAGCGCCAGATGGACTCCTTCGGACAAACTACAGTTCTGTTTTAACAAATGTTGGTGCTGCTCTGCATGGATTTCATGATGTCATGAAAGGTGAGACTTGAAAAATAACAAAAATAAGTGTAAAACCTTTGTCTCACTTTCTCAGATCTGCCTGAATGAGATTTAAACAAATACTGCCAAGGCAGATAGACCTCACATAAAGACTTAGTAGCACTTGGCTTACGTCAAAGTTCACAGCTCACTGCCTTCTGCTTTTCCCATCTGCTTCACTTCTGAAGGTAAACAGTGCTGAAGAGAAATCCTTGTACGTAGTGCATTAGCCAGACCTATTACTAAATACAGGTGTGTGGGTCTACCAAACCAGACATGTACTTCAGGGGCATTTGACAAAGTATCTTGCACTTGTTGGAATGTAAGCACCAAAGAATTAAGGAAGGTAAGGTTTAAACTCTTCAGAAAGAAGTCACTAACTTTTTTACTATCCCATGTATGTATTTTTATGTTCAAAGTGCGCATTTTAAGTCCTCTCGTGTTCAACAAAGCCTTAAGTAATGAAGATCTCTTTATAAACTCTGATCAGTTTTTAATTATTGGTGTGCTTATCTGCTGGAGGACAGAGAAAAAGCTTGTAAAGTATATCATGCTTCTTAGCATATGATTCTGAGTCATAACTGTTTAGTCTAAGGGGCCACATTGCTTGTAGGTTTGTTTTTTCTTTCTTTCTCACTTGCTCTTTCTTTCTCACCCTCTGTCTTGTTCCCACCCACCTTTTCTCTCCCTTCCTTCTTTCATTCTTCATTGTCCCATTCCCCCTTCCTTCCTTTCTTTCCTTTACCTGTTAGAGACATTTGCAGTTGGAGAAGGAAGAGAGAGAGGGAGCAATTATTAAGGACTATTAGAAAGAACAAGGAGCTCTGGTAGCGTAGTGGTTAC